TCCGCGAGGTTGGTGCGTCTACATCTGCGCCTACGTCGCGCACGCGTACGTACAAAGCCCCGCGCTGGTCGGCACCTCGAACGGAAACCGCAGGCATCTGCCCCTCGTAGGCACCATCGCCCTGCGACGTCGTCTCTTCCAACGCACCAGCCATGGAACGGGCAATCGAGTCCCGGGTCTGTTGCAATTCATCGAGCAGCTGCGAAAACGACCGTGCCGACAAGGGCGCCGTCATGTTAAAATTTAATACTCAATACTCGCGCGATTTAAATACAATGTCAGTAATTGTGGCTGAGGAAGGTTAAAATGCAACAATCTCAGGAGGAAGATTCTCCTGTATCTGCCCTACTGTCCTTATTTTCCCTTTTCTTCCTACCTTGCAGTCTCATATCCTCATGAGACTGACTTCAGTCCCAAGGTCCCCATTTTAGTATGGGGGTCCTTCCTCCTTTTCCCAATTTCCTTCTCTTTCTAGGTCGGGGAACCTGAACCAACCGAAGAAGAGATAGCTCAGCAGAGAGCAGATGAAGAAGCAGCTCGTCAAGAAAGACTTCAGCGGGATGCAGATGCTCTTGCAGCAACTGAGAGAGAAGAAGAACGACTTCGCGAAGAAGAACATCAGGCTGAGATTGCTAGAAAACCGGCTGAACTTGATGCTCTCAGACAGCAAACACCATCAGAACGCAGAAACCAACAGAATGAACGTGGTCTAGCTTTGATGGGCACTTCCCTTGACAAAATGACCAGTATTTTGCGAGGGCCGCCAGTCCAACATCAGCAAAAAGCAACTGGAATTTATGGAACTTCTTAATGCCGATGCTGTAGCAGATGCTAAGCTAAAAGAGAGTCAATTAAGCGACCCAACTATGGGCAACTCTAACTGGTACCCCGGTGTACTCAGTTCAGAACAATCCAGACATTTTTCCAAGGGTATCATCACCAGTAAGGAATTTAGCTATTCTAAGGCTAATAATGAGTTTCAGGAGGCAAGCAGGCCTAACGACATGCATTTTCCGAGGAGTTTGGAGGATGTACCAGATAAAGTAGAAGCTTGGAGAGCAAGCTTTACAGGCTCTTTACAGCAATTTGTGATGGATGCACCAGATTATCATGCTTACATTACCACTAGCTCAAGAGTTACTGGCTCGGGCGCGTCGCTGCCAAGAGTTTCGCGCCGGCTATAGGGGCCCTCACGCGCCTTGACGCGCGAGTATAGCTCAAGTATTTACGCTATCCGGCGATTTAAATACAGTGTCAGTAATTGTGGCTGAGGAAGGTTAAAATGCAACAATCTCAGGAGTCCCGCCAGGATTCCCGCCCGGGTGTCGGTGCGGCTAGCTATGGTTGTTTTTCACACTGCGCGGTAGGGCAACTCGTAAATAGATCAGTTTCGGGCAGAATCAAGGGCTGTGCGTAGCCCCTCGTGCCCTGTCCCGGCGTGTACGTGAAGGTGTGCGTCGACCAGCCGGGGGTCGCCGACGGTGCGACGCTGCCCTGGTACCAGCGCGTTGCTTCGCTGCCCTGGTACCAGAACTCGCAGTCCAAAGGCGAGCTGCACTCCTCGAGCGTCGCCGGACGCGTGGCTGCAGCCATGGGCCGATTCTGAAATGGTTTTATGTGGAAATGCCTGTGTTGGTTTAGTCACGACGGTCCGAAGCGTGAACGAGACCCTCGGCGCTTGGTGCAGGTACCACCTCTCAGTAGGGTTCGACTTTATCTTCGTTTACATGGACGCCCCAGGGGAGGATGTGGCTGCAGGCGCAGCGGCTCGGATGTGTGGAGAGCGAGTATGCGTGATTGAATGCCCTACCTCCGGACGTGAAGATCTATTATTACGGCTGCCCGCTGCGGCCCAACGGCTTGGGCCACACTGCCAGGACGAAGTAATGGCGAGACAACTTGTCGCTGCATGGCATGCTATCGCAGTGCTGGCTCCTAAATGTGGTGTCGACTGGTTGATGCACCTCGATGCGGACGAGTTGTTGGACCCCGGGTTTGGACGGCGAGTGGGAGAGGTCTTCTGGTGCTTGAACATTGCAGGTGCTCGCTGCTCAACTTTCAAAAATTGGGAGTCTATACCCGAGGTCGATGGAGCTTCCAATCCTTTTGCAGCACACACTCTGTTCAAGAGACCAGTTGCTTCAATGCCAGGTGGCACCTGTACATCGTTCTGGGAAGAGCGACACGAAACTCATAAGTCGTATTTCCTCTTTTATGATAATGGGAAGGCTGGCTGTCGCGTTGAGCCAGGTATGCGTCCGATGTCGCTATCATGGTTGTACCTTTCGCGCTATTAGGCGCGAAACCCCTCTCGGTGCACGAGTGGTTGCCAGGGGACGCACACGGCCTGGAATGTTGGGCCTCAAATCTCGTTGGACTCTTCAGAACCGATGAGCGTCGAGGACCGACCGCTGCATCGTGCGCGGACGATACCAAAGTGCTTCACTACCCTGTATGTTCTTCTGCTGCCCTACTTGAGAAGTGGTCTACCCGTGCCATCACAGAGACTCGGTTCGATAGGGCGGAGAGTAGGTACAATACGCTAGGCCACTTTCCAAATTCGTGGTTTGCTGGCAATGCACCAATCCCCGCGTCATTTCACCGCGACTGCAGGGATATTTTCTCGCATACCGTGTCAGCACACGAGCCTTGTTATGCACACGACGTGGCAGCTGATCTTTTCCATCGTTATATTGCTCTCACAGATGGAATTGAGGTAGCAAGGCAACTCACGCTCGGTGTGTGTACGCGTTTTGATGCTATTGGGTGTGCAGATGCGACATTAGCGTGCAACAGTCGACATTCGCCGTCAAGAAGGACACGTAGTATAGGCGGCGGCAGTATTGTCGATGTGCTCAGACCACCACCTAGGCCGCATTCGCAGGTTGCTAGTCCTAGCAACCTAGCAACGGGCCCATCAATACTCATTGATGCGGACGGTACTGCAGCACGTGCTGTTGCGGCAGGAATTGAGCGCAACGGCTTTGCCATTACACGCGTGGCCAAAACGTTGATGGAAACTTTTACAAGAGGGAGATCCGAAGTCGATCATCTCGATACCTCTGGCAAGCTGGCGCCTGGTAAAGTCGCAGCGCGCGGTGCCAATGTTGCAGATCGCGCTGATAAGGTTGTCTGGCTAACTGACATTAGCGCAAGTGCTTCTACGCACCTCGCAGAAATACGGAGCGCAATCAATGCCTTTGTAGCGCGGTGCGTGCCTTGGCTCTCAGCACATGAAGCCCACGATGCCAGTCGACAACACGCTCCTTTCGTCTTGAGTGAAAGCACTGATACTATGTTGGCCGTCTATGGTGGTGATGGGTGTGCATATTCCCCCCACATCGATAATTTTGATGGGGATGGGCGTTGTGGCAAAGACGAAGGTCGGCTCCTGACCGTCGTTGCCTACCTCAATGCACAGACTTGGGGCGCGCATCGTGGCGGGCACCTCAGACTCCATTCAAAAACAGGAAGGTGTGTTGATGTTTGTCCGACCGCGGGAACGATTGTTCTTTTCCGCGCGGATACTCTTGTCCACGAAGTGCGCCCGGCCTTTGTTACACGCCGTGCTATGACCGTGTGGCACATGGGCCGGCGAGAGACAGCCGCCGACCATGGGGTTCTTCGGAGCGAGTAAGCCGTAAGGCAAGAAGTGGACGGCAAGTTCGTGATTAAGGCAGCTGGAGCCTCGCGCGCGCCAAAACTGTCATGATGCGAGATCTTCTCGTACTCGTGCGACTCCGCCCACTCCTCGGACCCGAAGATCTCTGAGGTAGACGTCGTGCGCCGACTCCAGGACGAGCGACCTGTCGATGATTTCCTGCTTAAGCTTGCGTTTGATCGTGCCTATGAGCGGCTCAGCGGTTTTGCCGCTCGCGCGGCTCGTCGACGGCGTCGTCACACGCTCCAGCGAGGCCGTTCCACGGGCCTTTGCCGTGGCCGGGACAACCGATGTCCCACGACGCGCTCACTTCGCTGGCCTACGGGAGAACCGTCAGACGCTGGAAACTTGGACGCCGCCCTAGCCTTGGAGTAGTATCCGAGTCAGCCGCGTCACCCCCGTCCCAGGGACCCCCGGGACACCGTGACGTCCGACGAGGCGAGGTACGTCGCATGGTTCTTTCGGGGACTTCGTGGTGGATGGGCCTTCGAGGCTCACTCAACTTACTCGTAATGCCAAGCATTATCTTACTCGACTAGAAAGCTACTTTGCACAGGTAGTCTTTGCTTAGCCAGGAAAGTAGCGCGGTGTGGCGGGAGAATGGACTAAGGTAACTTGGCTGGCTTAGCTTGAAGTTGGCAGTGCAGAGGGCTCGTATCCCTGTTATGACCTTATGATAGTTACAGCGAACGACGAGGGATATATATCTGAACTTCCATGGCGTTGCTCCTTTTCTTTCTTACTCACTTAACTCCAGCGAATGAGGACAAAGAGCCCCGGTCCGATTAGTCTACCTGCTTGAGTAGGTAGTCGACTAACTAATTATTACCATACCCTAGTCAGGAGTCAGGCTGAGGGTAAACTACCACCAAGAGGCATGCACAAAATACGATAACTAATGTCATGTTGATCTACGATGGGTGCTCTGAGAATGGGGTTAGGTAGTGGTAGTGGTAGTGGGGGTAGTGCCCCTGGAGCCGCTGGAGACCACTGGCACTCGACTCCACCGGAAATATGCTTGTTTTGGCTCTATCGGCCAGTTTGGATCTCGAGCTCGAGCAAACTGGTGGTTTTGACGCTCGATCATAAATTTCGACGGATGGAGGTCGTGGCCGAGCAGCCCTCCAGCTGCCGATTGGCCAGAGCGGGTGGTTCACAGGCTTCGTTGACCCTATGTCCGCCCACGTGCCTCCTGACTACCACCATATTTTGGTCCCACCTACCGCAGCTGGAGTCCCCAGAGCCCGCCCATTCAGTGGAGGATATCACATATAACGTACAAAAAATTTATTAAACAAGAGGGAGATGCCACACGCACTGCAAATTTTTCATTTAAAATTTACCATCGATTCAGCGCATCATAAGACTTAGTAGCCTGACAGCGCATGTGTTTTGAGGATAGCGATATCGACAGTATGTCCATGGCGGACCTAGCCCAACGTGCTCTAGGGAAGTTTACGAAGACGGTCCGGTCGGCGACGCGTGATTTATCAGACATGACAGGTGATGGCAAGCTGACATCGTTTAGAGTCCCAAATGGCGGTGATCACGCCACAGTTCTGGGGATCGACCGCGAGAATTATGACTTAAGAAATGGAGACCTTGCGGCCTCAATACCCTCAGATGATTCAGTTCGACTTCTCCAACGCGAGACAACAGAGATAGTCTATGACAACCCGGTGGCTACAATGGACACTGGAGAGAGGTCGCCGCCGTCCCACGAAGAGATCAGCGAAAAGAGATCGCTTGGAGATGAGGCCAGGGGTCCAATCCCAAGCCCCAAGGTCCTGCAACTGAGCAAAAATGATGACCTGGGACTTCCATCGAGCCATGAGAACGCATTGAACTGCCCAACTTTGACCGTCTCATGCCAAGGGGATATCCCGCTCAAACAGCGGGCTTGGCATCGAATATTTTCAGGGCTTGGGGGCGCCAACTCCGAATCTCGATCATCTGAGTTCTGCAATCTCCATGATCTCTCAAATGGTCTAAACTCCGAAAGTCCTCCACTTGTTCATGGCTCCGTGGACACGCATATCGCACTCGTGGCTCCAAATAACACCTGCCAGGGATTTACTTGCCGAACCGATGATGTTTTTTTGCCGCTACCACACAAGTCAAGTGCTGCTTCAGTCCAACCGCCGTCATGCTCCGATCATCAAAGCTCATTTGTAGCCGGGCTGACACGTCTTTTGGTTGGGCCTAGTTGGTTGGATGTTGTTGCGGATACCGCAAGAGGGGCGGTCGAAGATATGCGCTCGCCAAGGAGGCAATCCACAGGTCGGCATGTTGGGCGCTCCCAGGTGCTCCAGGAGCATCTGCATCGGCGTGAAATTGCTGAGATGGATGCGAAACACGTTGCTATGAAAAAGGAACTCATTTGTCAGAGTCTACGGGCAGTACTGTCGCTGCCGACTGTCCTAAGGAAAGTTCCACGTGAAAAGGTGGCGAAGGCGTTTGCCAATGACATCACAGAAACGCGGCAAAGGCCCATTGTAGCTCACATGCCCGCATCTGATCGCTCAAGACGAGCTATCCTTCGAAACGATATAGACCGAACTATTGATCGGCTCATTGAGGTGAGAAGTCGCCTGAAGGCCATCAGGAATCTGGCGGTTGGGAGTAGTGCGGCGACCAAGCCTGCGTTACGAGATGAGCAGAGCCATCAAGCACGCGTCCGCAGCCAGCCATCATCTTCCTCAAGTGGTGAGACGGAAGGTTATTCAAGCCGCATCGAATCGCTGGAAGACGCTTTGCACCGTGCCCGCTGCCAGGTTTCAGCATCTTCAGCCACCGCCCTTCAAGAAAAGAAATACCAGGGCAGGCAGATAGTGACAAACGCCGGAACAAACAATTATTCGCGAGCAATCTTCCTAGCTGCTCCGTCCACAGGTCATATTGCCGCGACACGAACGCAACTTCGCAAACGGGGGAAAAGCTCCATCGCCGCGCTGCGCGTACAGCTCGATGGAGCCAACGCCACATCTACGAGCTTTTGCGGAGGCGTAGGCAAGGTGTCTCAACTTGCTGCAAACCTAAAGGCTGTCAAGAGTGAAAAAGGGAGCATTGTTGAGGGCGCCAGATTCTCAACTAGTGCGCCCAATAGCGGAGATCAGACCAAAACCCCTTCTTTAGAAGCTGCAAGCCATAATAGAGTTGAGGACACGCAGCCTGATTGTCCAACTCGACCTAAATGTCCAAATCAGACTGGGCGGATGCTCGCGGCTGCACTACCCAAAGGATTGTCTGGTGATGCGCATGCGGACCATGGGGATGCTATCTCTGCCCTCCACGCATCGTTCGCAGCGGCGCAAGCTGCACATGCATCCGAAATCGGTGGACTTAGGAGCGCGCTCGCAGCTGCCCGCGCAGCTTCTGTGACCACGAATAGAGACAATGTTGAATCGAACCTGTACACAAAGATTAATTCCGCGAAAGAACAGGATGGGATGGTAGAAGCACTTAAACTTCAGCTCAAAGCACTCACTAGCGCGCATGGCAGGGAAATGCAGCGCCTTAAAAAGGATATCCAGGCGGAAGTTTCAGCTGGAATGAGAAGAGGTATGTCAGAGGACGATTCTAAGACGATGATCGAGATGCTTAGAAACCAGCTAGAGGCAGCAGGCCTAAAGCCGATAGACAAGGTCAAAGTCTCCTTTTGATTTCCAAGATGGCACGTGCTCCATAGCATCATCAACATAGGTTATTTCTTTCGAAGATGCGAAGGCAAAGCTCCACGCCGCTGTTCAGCGCCTCATGCGAGGCGACTTAGACGCCGAGTCTGAGCTGGAAGAATGGGATGCGAGCAATCCGTGTCTCAGTTGGCGGCTCCTGTGCTCAAGATTCAGCTAATCCTTGAAATATGTGAACATAGGCATTTGTGCGAGCGCATCCAGATCACGCACGCGAAGAAAAAGAAAAAGCCTTGGCATGGGAGGCACAGAACACACCGCTCAACAAAGAGGCTCTACGAACGATGCGGTCATTTGTCCCGGAGGACATCATGACCAATTCGAGCCTGAAGAGCCTGCTTGAGGCGGGTGTTACACCGGCTTTAGCGAGGAGGCTCATCAATAACCGCGCACTTTGGCTCATTCGCGTTCACGACGTGCGACCGAGATCAGCGCCACTTTCGAGCTCAACTTTCTATACCATTAATAGGCATTTCTAAAACGGATCCACATCGCAGACCTCAAGTCAAAGTACGCAATTCATGGGCTTGATCTGACAGAATTGCACGTGTGCAGAGTCCTCTGGCGATCATGCACGCAATTCATTGATCCTGCTGTCTAGGCGTGCTGTTTGGTGCGTTCTCTCGCAGGTTGCTTTCGACAACGATGGGACGGGTGACAAGGCAAGATGGAAGGATGACGCAAGGCTGAAACTACATAACGCGATAGATAAAGTAGCGGCTGGGACGCTATCTGCTAGTGGCATCCGACACGGTGCTTACAAGAACGCACTGCCACTCTTTGATCCAGATGCAAATCCAAGCGAACCAGAGCACACGAAGTCTACTGCGTTCGCCCGCTCTTATGATACGCCAGCCCCAAGGAGAATTGAGCGAAGAACGACAGTCGCAGCATCCACCGCCGTTCAAATACAGAGGGAGGATCGAAGCCATGGCACCGTCTCAATTGCAAAGCACCCGCCAAAAGATGCACTTGCCAAGGCTGCTCCGTCAGTCATTGATGAACTTCGGGCAAAACAGCGCAAGCGGAGAACACCCAACTCCTGCCCTCAGAACTCAAGCTAGCTAGTTGCTGACACCGACTTTCTGTTTGCTGAGCTACAAGTTGCTTCAAAGACGCTGCATGCACCTAGGCTAGACCACACCGGGGGATCATGGCCAGCACCAACCACGCATACTCGCCGGCGCGAATTCTCGGGACACAGAAGTTATAAAGGGGGTGACTCCTAGATCAGGCCCTATGGGGGCTCCTCCGCGGGTTCGCGCGGCCCGTGAAGCCTCCCGCCGCGCGCGCCTTTGTGTCTCCGGGCCCGCCTGGGTCCGTGGGTGACCCGTCGAGGTCGGGCGCACGGCGTCGAGCGCTGTCGCGCGCCGCGCACGCGCGCCAAACGCGCGCGGGCTACGTCCGTGGGTGGCGCCTCTATGGGTGCCGGAAACCCATCTCAGCTGTTTGGATTCGGCACAACCTGAGATGAAGCACCCGCCCTGGCCTACCCTTCTCCGTCCCTGCTGAGGTGGCTGCGCCATCCATGCCAGCGTGCAGGCCCTCCGGGAGTGTGGCTGAGGTGGCTGCGCCATCCAAGCGCGGTCCGTCGGCCTTCATTCGGCACTCATAGTTGAATCGAGCTCAGCACTCACAATTGAATCGAGCTCAGCCCCCCCTTGAGGGAGGAGTTTACCTTGCTTCCTTTAGCTTCAGGCTAGTGGGAGATACGAAAGGCCAAGTGGACGGAAACTTATCTTCGCCTATCATATCTGAAGTATCTTCTCAGCTCTCCAAATTTGGGCTACGCTTTTTTCGATGAAGACTAAATATGGCGGGGCGGGGCGTGGTCAAGAGATTGTGAGATACCAACATACCTTGACGGAGACGAGCAACCGTCGAGGCGACATCCACGCACACGGGATACGCCGCGTAGCCCTTTTTGCAGTCGTAATCTTCGCCGCGTATGTGTCCGCGATGGGCTTCCTTGCGTTCGTAACACCCGGCGCGACACCCGCTCTGAAGGCATCTGTGATTACTGGCTCTGATTCTGAGTGTTCCATGGCCAAGACGACTTCGAGATCTATGGTTGTTGGCGCGTCCGTGGCGATGGACATGTCACGATTGATGCCTTTGCGGGCGACTTTGCACTACACGATGTCGGGGGCACTCCTACAGTACTCAAAAAAGGCGTTGGTCACGGCAAAATATTCGCCTCGGGGGTCCACTTTATCTTCTTTGTGGACTGAGAAACTGATGATCGAGATGACCACGCCTCTCGAGACGACCATCGGGGAACTCGAGATGTATCGACTTCGACCCAAGACTGTGTATGACTACACTATCTACGTCCAGGTAATAGGTGATGATTACGCGACGATGGAATACGCCGGAGACTTTAAAACCGGTGGTACTGGCTTCCCGCGTTTCGATGAAGCACCGTATTTGCACCTGGGTGGCTCAAACCCCTCATTTGAGATGGCAACATTCGCTGTTTCCCCTGGGATAGTGGTGAACGGCTCAGGGTCGGCCGGTGGGACGATGTCGTTTGAGGGCATTGTCGCGGTCGACGCTGAAGGTTGGGTTGTTTGGTACTATCATACTTGCTCTCCAGTTGCATGGGATTTTACACCAGGTGAAAACGTTGCAATAATTAATTCGGCGGCGTCCTGTACAGATCAAGGGCGCGAATACTCACGGAATGGTTCAGTTTACACGGAGAATTCCCAATTCCAGATTGTAGATGTCCACGGTCTCATGCAATCGCAGACCAAGATGGCTTGCTCTGGAGCGCCAGTGAACTATAACGCCCTCGCTGCGGAGTGCCGTGTAGACCACTCTTCGCCGCTGCATGCGCGCGACTTGCTGACTACAACATACGATGTCGTCAAGATACCCAACATTACCGTCCTTGCCCGATCTGCGCCAAATGAGACGGCAATAACGAAGCATGACATTTTTGCCATGTCGAAGATCTCCAGGTACAACTCAGAGACCAGCTCTATAGAAGACATTTATGAGATGTCGAACTTCTTGGAACCTGAATCATACATGCCAGCTTCTGCCGGGTGGAAGACAATCACAAATGTCGCTTGCTCAGGCGGTGCCTCGGCAAATCCGATAGACTACCACCAGATCTCCTCAGTATCGCCTGGCGCCTTTAGCAATTACATAGTTGCCTCAAAATCCTTGGATGCCGTTTTCTCTCTCGCCCACGACGGTTCTGGCAAACAGTGGACCCTTTCGCCAGATGAAACTATCTCCGATTTCACTTTCGTTTCAGATGCTGACAAATTCTTTTCCCCATTAGACGTCACTCAACTCCCGAATGGTAATATCCTTATGATCGATGGTGGTTCCAATCGTCCGGGTTGCACACTCTCGACTCAAAGGGGGTGTTTCTCCCGCGCCATCATGTATAAGCTCGATCCCTTGGCTTCAATTGTTTCTGTAGCCTGGCAATTTGAATTTCCGTTTGGTCTTCAGAATCCATCGTCACACCTTGAGTCCAAGGCCGATGTGTGGAAACATGCTATGACGCACGATGCATTTTCTGTTGATGGTGGTTCTGCACGAAAGCTTTCTAATGGGCGCTTCCTCCTCGCCTTCCCATCTCTAGAGAAGACCCGTGATTGGGATCCCTCGGGTGCAGGATATGCGTATGAGGTTGACATGGATGCCCACGATGTGATTGTTTCCAAACTCACCTTTCCTACTGACGAGGGCCTGTCATTTGCTGAAGGAAATTTCCGCCTCGTCCCCTGGGGACAAGTTCACCGCGAGTCATCTACATGCCCCTTCTCTGTCGAAGAAGACTCACTGCAGGGTCGACCAACAGCAGGACCATAGTCTCCAGCCCAAAGGACATGCGCATGCCTCGCACGCCGCCGGAGCTCTGTAGGTACTTGGTGAGAGCAGTGCTCATTGGCCCGCCCTGAGGCGAGACATTGTCGCGCGCGCCTATTGCTGGTCGCGACCTACGTCCCCGGGTGTACTGCGATGGCGAACTGCACCTCGCCATAGATTTGCGGTTGTACGCAGCGTCGGGAGCAGGGTTACTAACTACCAGCGGCGTCCTGCTCGATTACGAAAGTCGCCTTCGAGCCAGTAAACCAAAATTGTTGCAGTATTAAGTCATTCTGAGCCAGCGTCATCGGAGAAAAGAAAAAAAATTTTGTATCATGGGAAAATCATGCCACGGCCGATATTAAAGTAACTTAATACTTTTTCCGGTGTTCAGCCCTCTATGTATGTAGCCTACTGCGGCAGCACTCCGCGGCTGGCGCGTCGGACGGCCCTCTGTGCTCGCTGATTCGGACGACCACAAAACAGGTTTGTAAAGGGACTCATGTACCAAAGTGGACGCAATTTTATTTAAAGACGGGGGGGCAACACCATTCAAACACACATCTTATGTCCGAGAGCGCCTGGGGCAAGGCTTCCTGGCCACCCAATTTTCTTTGCAGCATCTTTGATGCATTTTTGGATATGGGGCGACGCCCCACGGCCACCCATTCATTCAGAGCTGTGCAAAGGAAATCTGGAGCCATTCGGACAAAAGCTCGTTCCAACTTCGACCTTGAATGGTATTGCCCCCCGGTCAAAAGCGCAGATGGTTGTCGTGCACCAGCGCCCATTGACTAATGGCGCGTACACCTCCATCCCAAAAATCAGGTCGGCCGCACAGCACAAAAGAGCCACGAGCATGCCTAGAAGTCCAACTTTTAAGGCAGAGGTCAATTTAATTTATGACTTCTTCAAGAGCAAGGCGAACTTCAAAGAACGAAGTGATTAGTATCGTGCCTGTGTGTGTGTAAGACATCAGGACTCGTCAGATATCGCGTACCCCACACAGGTGATCTGTTGGACGTCCGTCTTGTGACGTGAGCAATATTTCCTCATGATCCCCCGCCTAATTAGTGCCGATCAGTGGGACAATTAGTGCTTCTGGCCAAATATTATCGGCACGCAGCTGCTTCGCACATCAAGTTTACTCAAACAAGCAATGGCCTATCGGATGAAACAATCAGAGGAATATGTTTGAAATCAAAACCTTACATGCCCGCTGTCTGTGATTGCAAACCCATGGCTATTAGCTTGCTCAAAGACATACTCGCCAAACAGCGCAAGCAGGTAGCGCCCCCCAGTATCTTGCCAGTACGCGCAGCCACCTAATTAGGGAGTTTAAAAAAGAAATGATGATAATTGAAGAACGTTTAAATAGAGTGGAGCTCAAAAGGAGCATAACGTGAAATAGGCGACCAGCACCAAATTCGCTCGTGATGTGATCCTCCAAGGCATCTCCGCAGAGGTACGCGCTGTCGAGTTCATCAAATGCTCGGCCAGACAGCATGTCACACAACGCAAAGATCGACGGGGGTCTAGTCAGCAACTCCAAAAGGAGGGCATGGAGCTCTCTTGAGTACCTGAACACAGTTTCAAAGTTTCAAGGGGTTGTTTGCATGGTCTCGTATCTGAAAAACGTGCCCTAACACTGCTTTCCAGCATAGTGCGAACTTGTTGAAGACGCTGCGTCCATAAGGTAACTGATACCTGATGAATAATGTGCCGATTTTTGGTGGCCTCTGATGGTTTAAGCAATGCATAATTGCATGGCGAGCAGAGTACTGGCGGACCAGCGTGGAATCTGCAGTTGGTCTTGTTGCGAGCGCTAGAATCACATGTCCGAGAGCGAGGATATCGTCCCGCTGTCCATCTGCAACACTTTTGCCTGGACGGACCCACTAATTTAACCAAAAAAATTATTAGCACTGGCCAGGACAGGCGTCATACTCAAGCACGTCAGTTACTCCGACGCCACCAAGACGAATACGTCCACAGCTGCTAGTGATTAGAATACGCGAAAGCCCGATACCTCGGCATGCCTGACAATGTCCGCATGATTCTAACTTGCGTTGGAGGACATTGGTCGACCATCGTGGCCGCATGTATGGTTCGTGTTGCAGTAACTAGTTGCAAGAGATAACTCCAAAGACATGATTCGTCAATAAGTGAAGTGCCATCTGTGCATGTCGGTACTTCGAGGTGAGTTATTGCCAGAACACATACCCTGGGTTGATGGTGCAAAATGATATTGAAGCAGTGATTGCGCGCATGGCCAATACTGATGAACAAAATAGGTTGCTCCGCCATGAACAAATATACGACGAAGAGATATGATATTGGAATGACAGACTGCACGCCAACGCGATTGAACGGAAGCGGTGACCTATAGAACCATAGTTGTGACAATTCAATTGTCGCCGTTTACCTTTTGGGAAACGCGAGCGCCGTCAACGCGACGCAGGGCATAGGGCAGGCCAGAGCGACGGTCTATGACCTTGTATATCGAGCTGAGGTAACCAAATGAGCCGGCAACTTGCGTGGCATGAATTCCATAGTCCAGGGGAAATGCGGCGCAATACTCGGGAGGTATCTCATTATAACGTTCATCATCTGGCTCCAGTTGTTTAAGAGTATCATGCGCTTGAGTCTCGAGGTGCTGTCGCAGCGCATAGGGGAAACCAACTGCCGAAGCGGCGCACGAATTCCGCCACCTTAGTAGACAGGCCCTGTGTAATACAAACACGCATATTTGCCTGCGCTGCCATGGATGCCGGGGCATGACTGTTGTCGTAGCATTTGGTGAGTTCCCATTCAATATTTCCCACCTCCTGATCGAACTTAGCTCCGAAAAGCTTGGCCTGACCAGATCTTGTACGGGCCTCGTTGCCTGTATCATCGACACTCATTAGGTCATGCTGTACTAAGTTCTGCTTTTACGTGTGACTCCGTCAAGAAAAAAATGCAACCGTTTCGGGTTATTTCGATCATTTTGCTATCAGACGAATGTCGAGCTTCAGCGCTATTCGCAAATTCGCGCCCGCTCGGTGCATTGTTGGCCCCTATAAATGATGTACCAGGAATCTCTGGAGACGAACCTATTCGATCAAGGGGGCTACTCTCCCTACTAGCCGTTACATCACAGCCAATATCTTAATGCGGAGCGACACACCTTTGATTGGGCACCCACTCAGGCGCAGAACCATTCATCTCAGTCCGCACACTACTTGCACGGCTGTATCCGGATGTTGGAAAATGGCGGGCGGACCGAAGATCACAGAAACGTGAGATTTCGTGGCTGGCTCGCTGCGGGGCTGCGCTCGTCGCGTTCCGGCATGGACTGACGCGGCGCGGCCGCGCATCCGCGCGTACTTGTCGAGCAGGCGCTGCATCACTTCGGCGACGGGCGGCTCCGCGCTGGACGTGGCGATGGCGGCCTTCATGTCCAGGTTCATGTCGTGGCTATGACCGCCGGCTAAAATTACCGAGAATATACTCAGGACGGTAATTCATAGGTAATTACTAGTAATTACCGCTGCTCCAAATCAGTTACCGAGGATTGCGACACCATGGGGCTACTCATGTCCATTGATTTTCGTTGCATATAAGCTGGACACCACTCGATTTCACAGAATAGTCGCAAGTTTTGGCTCTAGTGGGAGATACGAAAGGCCAAGTGGACGGAAATCCCCTGATCGTGGTGCTGGTATGTAATGGGATGCTAGCTAGTTACGCTGGACCTTTCTTAAGCTGGACGTCCACAGTCTAAGAGTCGTACTCGGTCTGTTCCGGAGAAGCTGCTCGCTTGCTTCTCGCATGTTCCACCCCATCATAACAGTGACTCTAGCCTGCCTCACAACTCGCACTCACGCATCGTGTGTTAGCGACGCGCCCGGGTCGCTCGGGCGGTAAGGACCGGCGTCTCCTTCCGACGGTCCGCCACGCGGGAAAACCCCGACGGACCCCGCAAGACCGCAGGCGCGAGAAGCAGGAGCTCTGCGAGGGCGAGGCGCCAGGCGCGGCGGCGTGTGCGCGGGCGGCGCTGCGCCGCACGGGCGGCAGCGCGGGCCTGGGGCCGCGGGACGCAGTGGTGCTGTGCCGCGGCGCAGCGTGCGACGCGGGGCAGCGAGGGAATCCATAGTCACTTCGACTTAGTATCCGCGATGAATCGTCAAAGGAAACACCCACTCCTTGAGAACTCTCTGAAAGATGATCGCTGTCCAAAAACTAGCCGAAACGAGCGGAAAACGACCGAGATAGCAGCCGCCAGAGTTGGGAAATATCTCACCCTTGTGCTGCCCAGGTACGACGCGCCAGGCCGCTGCGCCGCGGCCGCGCCCCG